ATTGATCTGATTGGTTTATTTGGCCCGTCTATCACCAACATAGGCCAATCAGCTAACCAGTATTTTCGCCCCTTCCCAAAATTACTTCTACGGAAGGTTTCCAGATGGATACGCGGAGCAAATCCATCTGGCGGAGTCAGGTTAGTGTTCTAAATCATGCCAACCATAAATGGAGAAAATGTCAGACCTCTAGCTATAACAGTTCCAGAGCTGTACAGAACTTTTTGTATCAGCTTGGAGCTGCGCGCATTGGCTCCACCTGCTGGTAAAAATTTTAACTGGTGGAATTTTATGCATTCTGAGTTATTACCCCCACTTAGGGTCCACCGGGTTACCGGCGACCCGGTGGGTTTTAAGAGGTTAAAATCAAATTTCTCTAAAGAGAACAAGATCCAGTGTTTTAAACAAACTGTTCTCCTTTATAAAAACTTCCTGAAACAATTCCTGAATTTATCCAGAAAATCCAAAGATCCTGACTGTGTTTCTGTGGGAACAGCGGCTCCAGGGGCTGAGAAATTGGTGAATATATGCTGTCTGTAGACATGTGGGTACAGTAAGTATTCCAGTAGGTATTAACATAGCTACAGCCTGACTTTGATTTGATTAAACTGTAAGTACTAAACAAGAACACCACAGTTAATAAGTAAACAACCACCATGGTACATTAACCTGTTTTAGAACAGATGGCAAAATATGTGAAGATAAAGACGACAGTTTCCGTTTACTGAAAGTAGATCATCACCATCACAAAGATCTCGACTAGAAATGTTATTTTCAGTCACTCTCCGTGTTCCAGTGGTCAGATTCTGGGGTCCTAAAGTCGATCTTAGTATTTCAAAGATCTACCTGGATAAATGAAATCTATGTACATTATCTGACTGTCCACCTTGCTCAACACATCTATGTCTGACAGGGTTTGACAGATATATAGATATGTTGGTTAATGCTGCTCTGCAACATTGCGTGGACATCAGGGCCAGTTCCCCTGGATTGGCAGACCGGGGTGGTGGTCCCTCTATTTAAAAAAGGGGACCAGATGGAGTGTTGCAACTACAGAGGAATCACACTCTTAAGCCTCCCTGGTAAGGTCTATTCCGGGGTTCTGGAAAGGAGGGTCCGTAGTCGAATCTGGGATTCAGGAGGAGCAGTGTGGTTTTCGTTCTGGCCGTGGAACACTGGATCAGCTCTATACCCTCAGCAGGATCCTGGAGGGGGCATGGGAGTTTGACCAACCAGTCTACATTTGTTTTGTGGATCTAGAGAAGGCATTCAACCGTGTCCCTCAGCGGGTCGTGTGGGGGGTACTCCCGGGAGTATGGAGTACAGGTGTCAGAGCCTGGTCCGCATTGCTGGCAGTAAGTCGGACTCGTTTCCGGTGATGGTTGGACTCCACCAAGGTTGCTGTGAAGCGGGCCCTGTACCGACCGGTCTGTGGTGGTGAAGAGGGAGCTTAGCCAAAAAGCAAAGCTCTCGATTTACCGGTCGATCTACGTTCCTACCCTCATCTATGGTCATGAGCTTTGGGTCATGACCGAAAGAATGAGATCCCGGATACAAACGGCTGAAATGAGTTTTCTTCGTAGTGTGTCTGGGCTCTTCCTTATAGATAGGGTGAGGAGNCCTGCCTTTTCATTCTAGTGGAGCATCCTGTCTTTATGAACTGATCAATTGTTCTGTCAGAACAATACTCTGTTTGTAACCATGTGTCATGTTCTGTTAGTAAAATGCTCTGTTGAGGAGGTCCAGTGGGAGACAGTGTGTTTGAGTCTGGGGTTCAACTGTCTCTCCTTCTGCAGAAGCCATACGAAAATCCATTACTGTGTATTTCAGTTCTTCCTTTTACAAAACCTACATTTTTGAACCCAACATACAGCATCAAAGATCAAAGGTAAAATGTTAGAATAATTGTATATACACATATCTGTGTAGTGTTATAATGCATAAAGCTGTGTGCTATGTGCATGTGTTCATAGCCTTCTTTTCTGAAGTATACTGTGATTTGTAGATTTGCTTTCGGGAGGTTGTGGTTGATTTACGAGCAGCACTCAACCTGCTGAACTCTGGTGAACAGCTTCAACAGCTTTAACTTTGACTGAACCCTGAGATTTAGAGGACATGTTTACTGAGACTGCAAGTCTGAGTTCCTTGTCTTGTTCCCCCCCCAGTGTAGTCTCAGCTGTTGTTACCAGAGACCACCGATTTCAATAAATAGCTAGAAGAACGCTGGGACCGCAGAGTGGGTTGTAGATTTGTAAACTCCGCAGTCTCTTCCTACTCTCCTCGTGAGTAAAACTAAATTAATTGTCTCTGTGCCTTCTTTCTTTCCCTGCATGTATGTATGATGTTTTAGGTGCTTAGACCTGACATAAAACCATAAGAAAAAAGAAACTTTGATCCACAAACGGATGAAGTGACGTAACTTTACCAGCGATATCAGCACCAAACTAGCACAGGTAATTCAATGTGAAGCCACCCTGACATGTTTTTTGGTGTGTCCCATCACATCAGCTGTAGAATTAACACCCCATTACAGAAAACTCACTTCATACAAATGGTAAAGTATGGTGGCGGTAGTGTGATAGTATGGGGCTATTTGGTGTTCCACGACCTAGAACTTGCTGTTATGGAACTAAGAATTCTGATATTTACCAAATGATCCTAAATGACAGAGTCAGGTCATTCATCAGTGACCTCAAACTGCAGCAAACTTAGGTTCTGAAGTAGGACAATGATCCAAAACACACCAGCAAGTTGACCTCTGAAAGGCTAAAGAGAAGCAAAACCAAGAATTTGCAGTGGCCTAGTCAAAGTCCTGGCCTGAATCCTACTGAGATGCTGCAGTAGAACCCTAAAGGTGAGTANGCCCCCTAAGCACTAACCCTTAACTATCGAGTATCACTAACTATTAAGTCTTATTAGCAGCTGTAGAAGCTGCCTGGATGAATGCAGGGGTGGGGAGGGGGAAGGGAAAGCAGTTGTTGCTATGGCAACACAGTGACGGCCCATGTGCGGCTGTAGCGCAGGTTAACATAAGATTAAACATTTGCCCATTTCCTAAAACAAATGTATACGGTGAAATGAAACTATTCAAAGAGGACAGTCAGTTTTGGAATTAATTACTTTTCTTTCATAAACTAATTTTTGATTTTTTGTTAGTGGGACCGAGAAGCAGTAGGAGTTGTATTGAGATTCTCAGGCTTTTACTTTGGTAGGTCACTTCCTCTTTCGGCAAGGTAATTTTTCATATTAGCTAAATATTTAGCTCGCTTGGTCCTAGCTAACTATTATGGTATGTTAAGTATGTTAAATACATTTTTTATTCAGAGCTAAATATTTATTTTCACAAACTAAATACTAAATCTAGAGCTAAATATTATATTTAGCTAAATATTTAATTTGCAAACTAAATATTTAGGTGGGAGCTAAATACTTATTTAACAAACTAAATATCTATTTTGCAAACTAAGCATTTATTAAGGAAAGTAAGATTTTTAAAAATTTATGAATGACATGGAAAAAAATAAACCCCTTATTTTTCTTTTTAAACATGCTAAATTACCATAAATATCACTCCTAACTTTTGACTGCTTAAATTTACAAACGGCTGCCCATAAAAATCTAAAGATCCTGATTATGTTGCTGTGAGAATAGCGGCTCCAGGGGCCGATAAATGATGAGGGGCTAAAAGATAACAGTGAAGAAAACTTGGTCCTCCTTACGTCATCATCAGATTCATCATCAGATAGCTCCGCCCCCTCCAGCTCCACTTCATCCTCCTCAATAGAATCTATCTGTAAAAAAGAAAGAGAACATTTTGCTGTTTTTTAAAGAAAAAAGTTTGGTGATATTCAGAATTTAAACTTCTGAAAGTTCTTTA